AATTAATTCAGTCATTGTGTTTTATTTCTAAAATCTTTACCAAAATTGAAGCTGCACTTTAATGTTTTTTTTTTTTTTGTAACTTTTGTTTCGAAAAAATGCCTCTTGGATTTATTTGGCAACAAAACATATTGTTTGTTTATTTGTTTTTTAAAGAGTTTGAAGTCAGCATTTTTCTATTTTAATTTAAGTTAAAATGGCATTTATTTCTGTGTAAAAGATTCAGTTTATTGCATCATTCATCAACATTTATTTAAAAATTGTAAGTTTTTTGTAAGTTTATTATATAATTCAGTTTGTGTTTTATGTTTAATATATTCTATAAACATGCATTTGTAAAAATCCGTCCGTCCATTCATTCATTCATTCATTCATTTTGTTTTTTTTCATAAAATCTTTACCCCAATTAAAACTGCACTTTTAATGTCCATTTTTGGAAAGTTTTTTAATGATTGAATGATAAAAAAATGCCTCACGCATTTATTTGCCAACAAAAATAGTATTTGTTTTTTTTTAATGCAGTTTTTTAAATCATTATTTTTATTTTTATTTTAACTTCAAATGTCATTTATTTCTGTGTTAAAGAAATATTGTCACACCATTCATTCTATAAACATGCGCTAAAGTGACTTAGATATTTGCAGAAGACTACTAAATGTGTTATGTTATACATTAGTTTACAGTATTGATGACACCAAAAATCCTAAATTAAAATCCTAAGTTAACTTAGTAGCATATACAAGACTATAGTAAAATTGTTACTCTTATTAATTAACAATAACAATTGTTTATAATCCTTATAAGGCCTTACTCTAATCAGTAGTATATAATAAAAATAGATGTATAATGATAAAACATTAAGCCAAATTACCTTAGGATGGTTTATGTTGTGTGTCTGATCTCTTCTGGTGGAGGTTTTGAGCTTCTCTCTGTGGATGGTGTTGTAATGACTCATTATGGCTATGGATAACTGCGATAACTGACCTCTCTTCTCTCCATAATTACCGGCTTTTTCATAAAGTTAAAATGTCAATTATGGGCACGACCGAGCCTCTGCCGGGCCCTCACTCTCATTTTCTGCCCCTCACGCTTCTCCTTTCTCTCCAATAAAGCAGTGTTTTCTCCCGAGAGTAATGTCTCCTCGTACTAAATATTTATGCGGTAAATACTTGAGGAGATGAATTTCGAGAGAGCCAAACCCACATGAAGACCTGTTAACCCTCTCTGAATGTGATGAAAACGATTGCATAATTGAGAATATGATAATTAATCTCTGTCAAAGCTGAGCAGTCGTGAGATATGAAACATCACGGTGCTGCCCGCCGTCAGCTTTACATTACAGAGGCTTGCCTTCACTGTGCCTCTATTTACTGCAGATACTTTTTCAAATCAATTTATCTGTGTTTGTGGAGGATTTGAGCTGTTCAGTTATTCCATTCAACTATTTATTAATGGAAAGGATGGAAAGTTCCCTAAAAAACTTATTTTGGAAACTTTCGAATTTTAAGACTGCATTTATTTGAAAAAGAAATAAAAATCAATAAACTACAGTAACATTGTGTGAAAAAAGGTGATTTTGTGAAATATTATTCAATTCAACTCAATTCATCTTTACTTCTATAGCGCTATAGAGGCCTCGGGATTGAGTATCCCTAAGTGAAAAACTAAGTGAAAATAATTAGCGTAGCTGCCGTTCATAGTGTATTTAAACACAAGATGCAAAATGATGTGCTATAAATGAAAATAATAGTTATATAAACAGACATAAAAACAAACATGTAAAACATATTTTCTAACGAAATGTTGTGCGCATTAAAACAGGAGTGTGTCCTACAGGTGGTTTGTCAACCCACTCACCTGCATGGAGTAAACTCATGCATCATACTGTTATGCTTCATTAAAAAGATAGGTCTTTAATTTAGTTTTGAATCAGGAATGCTATTCCAGAGTTTAGGAGCCATAAATAAGAAGGATCGACCTCCTTTAGTAGACTTTGCTATTCTGGGTATTACCAGCAGCCCTGGGTTTTGAAATCTTAAAGAGCGGGTTGGATTGTAGTAAACAGAATGTTATGTTGGTTAGATAAACAGGAGCTAGATTATTTAAAGTTTTATATGTAAGAAGCAATTTTTTTTATCAATACAGAACTTAACAGGCAGACAGTGTAAGGAGGATCCGCTGCGTAAAACATCTGCTGGATAAGTTGGCGGTTCATTTCGATGTGCCGAAACCTGATTAATAAAGGTACTAACAAAAGTCTTATTGTTAATTCTAGTTATTAAAGCAACAAATAATAACTTGACTTCTAGTTGATCATTTGGAAAAGTGTCAGAAGGTAGATTTTTCAGATGAGTCATCTGTTGAACTGCATCCTAATCATCACAAATACTGCAGAAGACCTTTTGGAACCCCCATGAACCCAAGATTCTCACTAAAATCAGTCAAGTTTGGTGAAGAAAATATCATGGTTTGGGGTTACATTCATTATGGGGGCATGCAAGAGATCTGCATAGTGGATGGCAACATCAACAACCTGAGGTATCAATACATTTGTGCTGCCCATTAGATTACAAATCACAGGAGAGGGCAAATTCTTCTGCAGGAGTGGGCTCCTTCTCACACTTCAGCCTACACATCAAAGTTTCTGAAAGCAAAGGAGGTCAAGGTTCTTCAGGATTGGTCAGCTGAGTTACCAGAGATGAACATTATTGAGCATGTCTGGGGTAAGAGGAGGCATTGAAGATGAACCCAAAGAATCTTATTGAAGTCCTGCAAGAACACTTTCTTTGCTATTCCAGATGACTTTATTAATAAGTGATTTGAGTCATTGCAGAGATGTATAAATGCAGTCGTACAAGCTCATGGGAGTCATACACAATACTTATTATTTTTCCACTGCACCTTGACTTATATATTCTATACTGTAAATTATTTCTGTTAAGTGACAAGACTTTCGTTTAAGTAAAGTAAGACCTTACTGTCCTAATTACATAATTACAAATCAAGACATGATCATGTTTTAATCAGGTAAAATAAGTGTAATCTATAGGCTCTTGCCTTTCATACACTGTAAAAAATGCAGGGTTCCGTATAAATCATTTATGTTGACCCAACGCAAATTAAGTTATCTTAACTCTTTTAACAAATTTCTGTGGATTAAACAAAAAATTAAGTTGTCCCAATGAAATCTTAAGAATTGTGTTGTTTGAGCTCAATGTAATTAAGTAGTTTGAACAAGCAACAAATATAATTTTTTGGGGGTGTATAAGCCACTTCTGAGACCAAATGATCTACTAGAAGTCAAGTTATTATTTGTTGTTCCTAAAACTTGGATATACGTGACAAGAATTTTGCCAGGTAGTGTATGTATGTACAGGCACACATTTAGTAATTTGGGTGCAACTGCAGCCATATTGGTTCCTGTAACAGGGGTGCGGATCCAAATGCAGGTTTATTAGCGAGGTCAGGTAAGCAATGGTCAACACAGGTGCAAACAGATGTATAAGGGCAATCCAGAGTCATAGTCAATATAACAGGCAGTTTATCACAAGTCAGGCAGCAAACAGGATTAAACAAATAAACGAGGCGAGGATCAAAAACACAGAAAAGCAAGACAAAGGAAACGCATTATAATGTCACTATACAGTAAACAATGCTCTGCAACAGTGTGTGTTTGTGTTGCTTATATTGTCCATGAATCAGTACTTGAGCAGCTTCAGCTGTGAGATTGTAATCAGTCAGGATGTGGAACTGGTTGTGTGTGAGTGTTGCATGACTGGGTGTTGTAGTCTATAACATGGTTGATTTGTAGTTCATGTAAATATAAGTGTATTTACCAGCGATCTCTGGCTGTATATTGCTGGTGATTGTAACAGGCCCAAATGTCCTATTATGCACTCTTTGTATTTATTTATTTACTTGTTTGTTTGTTTATTTTTTATATCACTCAATCATTGAAAAAAAAATATATAATCGATAAATAAAACGTTTTGTTTTAAAAACTATGTATTTATTGGGAGCAAGTTTCCTGGGGCCCTTATTTAGGGCTCCATGTTTCTTGGGGACCTAAAGGCTGATTTATATTTCTGCATCAAGCACATAGCCCTCGCCGTGGCTAACACAGACGTGTACCTCTCGAAAAATGTAACTTCACGTCGCAACGACACATAGCGCAAGCTCTGTGATTCGTCGACTTAGTAGCTGTGATGAGTGTGGACGGTGCTGAGAGCCACGAGCCCGATGGAGCGCTCGTTTACAAGTGTGGAGTCCCATGAAGGAGCTCCGGATAGAAACTTTTGTTTTGTGTTTTATCTTATGATTAAAGTTGTTGCACGTTCTTGCCTCTGAATGAGTGAGTTTAAGTGACTTTAAGCGTTAAGAAAACAAAACACTCGCAAAGAAACTCGACACAGGGGAAAAAAAAAACTACTACCAGCTTGCGTTTTGGAAGTGTTATTGCACAGCAACACAAACAGCATACAGAAATAGAAATGCACGACTACATACAAGACATGCGCCGTGGGTCACACTGATCACTCAACGCAGAAGTTTAAATCAGCCTTTAGCGGTTGCTCACCTCACTTACTGGTTGAATCCGCCCCTGTGTATGTGCACATGTGTGTGTATGTTTACTTCAATATAAGAGTTATATCTTAAAATAATTTCATCTATATTGTAAAAATCTGTATATTAAATGTGCTTTTTATTTTAGCAAATCTTTGTCTGACCTTCTAACACTCCCTTTATTATATTCTGTTGGTTTTTTATTACTCTAATCTTACTCTTTGATCTGCATTTGATTAATTGTCACTGAATTACTTTTATTGTCCTTGTAGTTTGAAATATAGCACCTGTCAAATGTATAATGTATAAGTAAAAAACCTAGTAAAAATCTTAAATACTACACTATTTACAGTACTATATTACTATATGAAATATTACCTCATACTATGGATTGAAATGTCTGTATAATTACAGCTGGAATTATTTCTGTCCAACAGGACACAGAGATTCTGAACACTGCCATTCTGACCGGACGGCGTGTTTCCATGCCGGTGAAGGTTGTGACAGTGGAGCAGGATGGGACAGTCAGAGAGGTTGACGACCCCATCACCTGCATCTCCACCGATGAGGACGTCCTGAAGGTGAGCTGGTCTGCTTTACTCCATCACAGCTTTAGGCAGGACATTGGAGATAGATTTCATCTTTGCAGGGAAGCCCACAGTGCAGGCAAAAAGAGAGATGAACAGACAAGAAAAACAGCGGGTGCCTGCGAAAAAGCTTTTTCCACCCACAAAGCTTTTCTTTTTAGTGGGTTTGAGACATTGGAGAAGTATTCATGCACACATCTATAACAAAAAAAAAAAAAAAAAAGAGAGACGTTTTCAGAATGGTCTGGAAGACAAACGCAAGATGTGTCGCATGAAATGACAGAGCTGATGCAAATTAAGGCATGAAAGGTAGCAGAGCCAGAGAAAGAACGGTGGCACTATGAGGATGAAAAATTCTGATGTAACAGGAGGAAACACCTTAAAATATAAACAAGCCAACCACGTCGTACCTGTGGCATTATTTATTTACCTCGTGTGGTGATTATGCATGCATGTGTTTACTGGCCATTTTGCTGGATGCGTGAGTTTATGAGGTTACATTACAAATAATTTATAACGTTACAAAATATTTTTGTTTCAAATAACTGGTGTAAAGAATCCTGAAGAAATTGCATCAGTGTTTCCACAAAATTGTTAAGCAGTGCGTTTGTTTGAAACATTATTGAAAAATTATTTATAACAATAACAATAAAATGTTTGTTAACCTTTTAACTGCGCCACCAAGAAAAAACTAATTTGAATTGCATTTCTTAACTCCTCATTAGTTAACACATGTTTTTTTCAACACATCCCATAAATTCTAAAATATCAGCCTCTACCAAATTGTTGATATGTCAGTTTATAGTAAAAGCACCAAGATTAATACATGTACTGAGAAAAATCTCAAAATATGAAGTATAAGAGCAACTGAAGTATGCCATAAAATATTTCAAATTCTCATTTAAAATGTTTTCTTGTTGTTGTTTTTTTCCAAAAAAAAAAAAAAAAAAACTAAATTCAAGTGTATTAGTGCAGTAGGATGATGTTTGTTTTATTATTATTTTTTTTTTGTAAACCAACAATGCTGTGTGTGTAAACCATTTTTCAAGAGTTCACACGTAGCTGATGATTGCTTATAATGCTTGTTTGGCATGCTGTCCTGGGAGAAAGCCCTGAGCTCATAAGATACCCGAACCAAGGACCATAAGATACTCGCAAGGCGAGAGGGGAGTTTGAGCTTAGGTAGATCTCGAGAGCTCCCCTGCTATAGTAGCTAATGAACAGATAGTGATTGCTCTTAAGAGATAACTACTTACTAGGAGCATGTCTATGGTGCCAATTTGGATTGGTCAATTAACTTAAGTTGCATGTTTTTGGACGGTGGGAGGAAACCGTGGAACCCGAGGGAAACCCATGGGAGCATGGGTAAACTCCGCACAAAATGTCGGCTGGCTTGGTAAGGACTAGAACCAGTGACATTCTTGCTGTAAGGCAACAGTGTTAACCACTGGGCCACCTTGCCACCCATCTAGGAAAAGAGGAGGAGTAGGGGTGGAAAGGGGCATTCTTCAAAACGAAGATGGCCATTAAATGGAACTTAGGGTATTTATAGTGGCTTAGGAATCGTCTGATTGGTGAATAATGAATTGAATAATGCAGGATCAGCCGCAAGCAATCATAAGCATGTGATCTTCTCGGAATTAGTTTATAAATAAACTTCACTATAAAACAGTCATTCTTTAAATGACTTTAACAGTCATTATTTAAAACAGAGTTAAAATATGGGCAACCATTTGGTAAAGCAGACAGTTAAAGGGTTTTAATTAGCATATTAGAATGATTTCTGAAGGACATTAAACGCTGGAGTAACGATGCTGAAAATTCGGCTTTGATTGACAGGTATAATCTTAATTTTATAATATATTAAGATAGAAAACTACTTTAGATGAAATTAAGTAGTGTTTTTCTATATTATATGCTTTCTTACAAACTTGTCTAATTGTGATGTATATATTAAAATTGAAAGGAACAATTCGGTGGATATAAAAAATACATTATTTTATTATATGAATTTTTTAAAACTTTTTTAATTGTGATGTATATATATATATTAAAAATGAGAGCAACAATTATGTGGATATTAAAAACTCTTTAGCACAATTGCTTTAATTTTTAAATATATAAAAATAGACTACAGTTACTTTAAATTGAATTATGTTTTACAATGTTACAGGCATTCCTACTTTGTTATTTTAATGTACAGTTAAAGTCAAAATTATTAGCCCTCCTGTAATTTAGTTTTTCCTTTTCAAATGTTTTCCAAATTATGTTTAACAGAGCAAGGTTTTTTCTTTTGTTTTGTTTTTTTACAGAATTTCACTAAAATATTTTTTTCTTCTGGAGGAAGTCGTATTTGTTTTATTTTGGCTAGAATAAAAGCATTATAAGGTTAATATTATAGCCTTCTTTTTTCGGTTGTCTACAGAACAAACCCAGTAGACACACAACATCATAAAACATTAATACTAGGTTAGATTTAGGTCACCAGCATCTAAGGACAACGTTATTTTCACATCCAATAACGATGTGAAATGACGCTGCTATTTGGTTGATTTTAGGTTGTTTTGGAATGTGATCAAAGTCCAGCATCGAGCCAACATCTCAAACCAACATCATACTGACATTTATTCGTTAGGTATGGCAGACAAATACCAATGTCTGATAGACATTAAATTGGTAATGTCCACACAGTGTCAAGCCGTAACATCATTAGATGTTGATATTTTGTTGTTTTTAGGTTGCATCGGAAAGTAACCAAAATGCAACGTATGTTTGATGTTGGACATTAATGTCTGCCTGTAGTTGGGTTTTGACGTCAACCCAATTTTCGTTTTCAAACAAATTATAACGTCCCAAGTCATTGGGGTACAACGTCATGTCCCGTGCTTGCTGGCAACCATCATTGTACAATGACATGCCTAGTTTCCCTAATGTGTCTGGTTAACATAATTAACCTAGTTAAGCCTTTAAATGTCACTTTAAGCTGAATACTAGTATCTTGAACAATATCTTGTCAATATTATTTACTTTCATCATGGCAAAGATAAAAATCAGTTATTAGAAATTAGTTATTAAAACTATTATGTTTAGAAATGTGTTGAAAAAAAATCTTCTCTCTGTTCAACAGGATTTGGAGAAAAATATACCGGGGCACTAATAATTCAAGGGGGCTAATAATTCTGACTTCAACTGTATATATTAAAAATTAACGCAACATGTATATATAGAAAACGTATTGAGCACTGTTGCTAAAGCATCATCATTCCAACAGTGTTTTAGCAATTTTAAGGCAGAACATTAATGTCACTGTTGTAAACTGCATTTCTTTTCTTCTTCTTCTTCGTCCTCTTTTTTTTTTGTTATTTTCAAGATAAGAACTCTCCATTCTCTTTTACCCCTGATGGTTTGCATGAAAGTAGCGTCAAAGTCTGTATTGTCATGCTCTTCTGGACTAATAACTGAACCTTCAGCCGATGCTGAGGCAATTTCCATTTACAAGCAGCAATATGTAGTTTAAATACAATCAATACGCGGGAACAATGAAAAACTCATTCCAGAGCTTTAATGCAAAGTTTGAACAACAGAGCGTGTTATTAAGGAAATTACAGGACACTCATTTTCTCTGGGTGTAGCGATGGAGAAAAAGAGGAGCATCCGGAGAGAAGAGAATCTGCTTCATGACAGAAACATGTGGTGGGGAAATTGCGGCAGGTGTATCTGTCTACTTGCGGGTGTCATAAAGATGTGTGTTTGACCTGCGGGTGACATGCGTGACAGGTGTAAACAGAAAACATGACAGCGCTGCAACCCACCATCAGATGCAGAAGTGCAGCGTCAGGATAAACTCCACTACGGAAACTGTTCACCGAGATAACAAACCCCAGCTTTGTTTGTACTATGTGAAAGTAGAAAAACAAACAGGGGAACTGTGTTTCTGAAAAACACAGGGGGAATTAACCTTATAAAAATAGTATAAACATTAAATCCACTAGATTTTTTGCTACTAAAAAAGATTGATTATATGACGGCTATTTGTACACATTGGTGGACATGATGCAGAGCATGTGTGATTACAGTATTTGTGTGTGTGAGAGAGAGAGAGAGAGAAAGAGAGAGAGAGAGAGAAAGGGTGCTACGCATACGACAACAGGATGCATATATACTGTAGAGTAAGGTAGAGCAGGGACGAAAGTACTATTTTTCATAAAAACTTAATTTTAAAAGTACTTTATAGGTACATCTGTCCAATTGCTCGTTAAAACAAATTTCCAATCAGCCAATCACATGGCAGCAACTCAATGCATTAAAGCATGTAGACATGGTCAAGACGATCTGCTGCAGTTCAAACTGAGCATCAGAATGGGGAAGAAAGCTGATTTAAGTGACTTTGAATATGGCATGGTTGTTGGTATTTCAGAAACTGCTGATCTACTGGGATTTTCACGCACAATCCTCTCTAAGGTTTACAGAGGGAAAAAGAGGTCTTAAAGAGAGAAAATACTGGGTGAGCGGCAGTTCTGTGGGCAAAAATGCCTTGTTAATGCCAGAGGTCAGAGAAGCATGGCCAGAAGAGCATCTGTCCATGACAACGTCCAACCTTGAGGTGGATGGGCTACAGCAGCAGAAGACGACACTGTGTGCCAATCCTGTCAGCTAAGAACAGGAAACTGAGGCTACAATTCGCACAGGCTCACCAAAATTGGACAATAGAAGATTGGAAAAACATTGCCTGGTCTGATAAGTCAAATGAGTCTGATGATGCTATGTCATAAAGCGCGGATCTTTTCAGATTGGTTTCTTGAACTTGACAAAGAGTTCACTGTACTCAATTGGCCTCCACAGTCACCAAAACTCAATGCAATAGAGCACCTTTGGGATGAGGTGGAACAGGGGGTCCAACACAGTACTAGTAAGGTGTACCTATTAAAGTGGCTGGAGAGTGTATAACTCATAAGAGTGGTTTATCAAAATAAGATGTTATTTTGTATCAATAT